CCAACACTCCCACCAGACACCCAGCTGCAGAGGGAGGCCTGACCGTGGTCCGAGATGCTCAAAGGCTCTCCACAGCACCAGGGCAGGCGGCCCCTCTGAAGGGAGAAGTTTTATCTCAGCCACAGGAAAGCCCGATAAAGGAACTAGAGTACAATGGCTGAAGCAGGGATGCCTGCAATCTGTAGGCAAGCAGGTGCCAAGAAAGATTCCCTGCGGACTCCCTGGGTGGTACCAATGGTTAAAGAGCTCCATTGCTAACTGAAAGTTTGCAGGTTCAAGTCCACCTGAGGCAAGGTGGAAGAAACGCCCACTGATCTACTTCCATAAACATCAGCCACTGGAAAAATGCCTACCCCCACCCCCCTGAAATCAGTGCACAGGGTTCATTTAGCTCCTGTCCTGAGAAGATGTGAACAGGCACGGCACTTGCTTTTTCTCCTCGAAGCAGCAAAGAATTAGCGCTGCTAGCTCTAGATGTTCGGGGAGAGCACTTAGCTCAAAAGTGCTCTGAGCAGAGACAACAAGGGAAGCACAGGGCTGCTCGGATAGGCACCCCTTGAAATGCTTTTAGATAGTCAGGCTTCAAATACTGCATTTATTTGTTCCATTTTCCATTTTTAAAAAGGAGGGAGAAATCATGCACAGAGGTCTACATTTCATCTATTCCTGAAAAGGGCAGGAGGGCAATTTCGTGATCTGCAAAGCCGATGGGAGATATTTCCGTGCTGCAGCACGAGAGCCTTTGACATTCTTGAAGGACCCGACGGAGACGGGGGACAGCCCAGAGGGCTTCCGCGGCTGCCTCATCTTCCTCCCTCGGAGGGGTTGCTGGGTTGGAACCAATAACCTTCCAGTTCGCTTCCGAGTGCTCTGCCTGCAGCTCCACCTGGGCTCCGTAACCAACTTAGTAATGTATTCTCGACGGACAAGAAAATGCATCCGGGGCATTTGCAAACCATCTCGGGACTCGATGGTTTCTTAATTAAAATGTTCGACTCTGGATCTGAACACCGAATGTTCATACAGGACACTAAATATGTCCAATTCTAGCTCTTCCAGTGTTATTTCTGAAGTAGCCTTTTGTGCTTAAACAAAACAAAAACAAAACTCCTACCAAATCTACTGCCATCAAGTCGATTCTGATGCACAGCCTCTCTATCGGGCTTCGGAGGGTTCCCCTGAGGTTTGTAAACCTTTAGGAGAGCACACAGCCTCATCTTTCTCCTGAGAAGC